TTGAAGCCATTTTGGAGGCTTCTTGCTTCCTCAGAGCCAAGAGAGATGGCTGATGGGGCACGCCACCGAAGTGGCTGGATTTTGGCTCCCTTGCTTGCGTTGTGGCCAAGCTGCTGCCCCAGGACCTGAGCACTTCTGTCCGTGTTGCAGAATGTGTCCTTCACCCTGCACCCCGGCAAAGTGACGGCGCTGGTGGGTCCTTCGGGGAGCGGAAAGAGTTCCTGCGTCAACATCCTGGAGAACTTCTATCCTCTGCAGGACGGGCAGGTGCTGCTGGACGGGCGTCCCATTACCATGTACGATCACAAGTACCTGCACTCAGTGGTACGAGCACTGATACGTGTATTCTAGCTATCGCCCGCTGTGATCGGAGGGGATGGATGGCAGCGTTGCGTGTTGCTTTGGGTTTGGTCTGGCAGCTTCGGAAATGTCCAGAGAGCTGGAGGCTGGAGGTGGTCCAGGAAATGGATTCAGATGATTTGTGGGGGTGGAAGGGAAAGGAATGGAGAGTGCTTTCACGGGGAGGAGGAAGCCTTCCAAAAACAGAACAAAAAAACCACGTTTTATGTTGTATTTTTTGGCCAATGCCGTAGAAATATCTTTTGGATTGTTGGGTTATCATTTAAATAGGGTTTGGGGAAAAAAAAGGGTTGCATTTCTCCAGCACTTTCTACCTGAAGATCTTAACGTAATTCTCGGCTAATGGGCAGTTAGACCTCGGGATCCTGGCACGGGCCGAGTGGTTTGTGCGGGCCCCTCAGCTCTGTGTGTGTCAGCCCAAATCAGCCTGCATCTCTGCAAGGAGCTGCCGCCTTTGTCTGCCCCAGAGCAAACAGCCTCAAAAAGCAGGAAAACCCAAAAACAATTGCTCAGAGACAGGCTGAAGAGCCAAAGCCAGCGTGACTGATTTACATTCCCTGCCCGTACTGAGCGAAAATTAAAAGACAAGCGAGCCTTTCAGTTTAGAATGCCTGGTGTGGTGTGAGGAGCATGGGGAGAAGTCAATTAAAATATGACCGTGTCCTGCTGGCTCTCTTCATGCCCAGTTCTGGGCAATAATTTGAGGGTTCAATTTATTCCAATATTGTGTTTGATGAAGCAGGCTGAATGCGAGAGTGAGCAGCGACGGCTGCAAGGTAGGACGGAGAGGCTGTTGCTAAGCAATTAAGGAATTGCAGCAGCTATGTCCATAACTTGCTAATTTTGGATTAAAAGATGCAGGGGGGGTCATTCACGT